GACTGAAGTGGAGCCAGGTGCTAATATCCAAGACAATGGAGAAAAGGCCTTGAAGGCGTTTCAGAGATTTTCTAGGCAACCCCTTCCATCACAGGCCCAGAGGCCTACCCTGCCACTCTGGGAAGTTGCTCCTTGCATCCTAATCACACTGGCTCCAGCCTCAGCCCAAAGGGCCACAGGTACAGTTCAGGTCAAAGCTCCAGCAGGTGCAAGCCTCTGTAAGCCTTGGCAGCTTCCATGTGGTGTAGGCCTGCAGGTGCACAGAATGTAAGAGTGAAGGCTAGGCAGCTTCCATCTAGATTTCAAAGGATGTATGAGAAAGCCTGGGTACCCAGGCAGACGCCTGCTACAGAGGCAGAGCCCCCATAGAGAACATCTACTAGGAAAGTACAGAGGAAAAATGTGGGGTTGGAGCATCTACATAGAATTTCCATTGAGGCACTGCCTAGTGGAGCTGTGGGAACAAGGCTGCTACCCTCCAGACCCAAGAAAGGCAGCTTACATTCTGAGCCTGGAAAACCTGCAGGCACTCAACTCCATACCATGACAGCAGCCATGAGGGCTACACCCTGCAAAGCCACAGAAGCAGAGCTGCCTAAGGCTTTGGGAGCCCACCCCTTGCACCAGTGTGCCCTGAATGCAGGACATGGAGTCAAAGTAGATTATTTTAGAACTTTAAGATTCAATGACTGCCCTGCTGGGTTTCAAATTTGCAGAGGGCCGATTGCCCCTTTCTTTTGGCCAACTTCTCCCTCTTGCAATGGGAATGTCCACAAAACGCCTCTACCATTATTGTATCTGGGAAATAAATAATTTGTTTTTGATCACAAAGGCTCATAGGTTGAAGGATCTCATCTTCAGATGAGATTTTGGACTTGGGACATTTGAGTTGGCACTAGAAGATGTTAAGACTTTGAAGGACTATTGAAAAGTGATGATTGAATTTTGCAGTATGAGAAGGACATGAGATTTCAGGGGTCAGAGGAAAATGATATGGTTTGGATGTTTGTCCTTTCCAAATCTCATGTTGAAAGGTCATCCCCAATGTTGGAGATGGGGCTTAGTAGGGGATATTAGGTCATGGGGATGGATTCCTATTGAATGGCTTAGTGCAATCCCTTTGATGATGGGTGAGTTCATGCTCAGTTAGTTTACACGAGATCTGGGTGTTTAAAAGAATCTGAGACCTCTCCCTTCTCTCTTTGAGTCCTATTCTAGCCATGTGATATGCCTGTACCCCCTCCACCTTCTGACATGATTGGAGACTTCCTGAGGTCTTTACCAGAAGCAAATGCCAGCGCCATGCTTCTTGTACAGCCTGCGGAACCATGAGACAAAGAAATCTCTTTTCTTTAATAATTACCCAGCCTCAGGTATTTCTTTATGGCAATACAAATGAACTAATATAGGCATGGAAGAAATTGAAGAAAACAAGGTCAAGAGAGTGGCCTGGGGCAGAATGTGAAAGCCAACCTGAAGAAAGGCAATGAGGAGCCTTTATTGATTCACTGGAAGTTTTGAAAAGTAACTTTGGCAGGAGGGGTAGGAAGGATTGGAAGGAGAAAGATTAAGACAGTGATTCTCAACAGGAATGGGAAATCTATAAGAATAACCTGAAAAGCTTTTGCAAAATACATAAGGCTGTTTCATCCTGCACTCTTCTGTCTCCTTCAACCACACTTCTGATGCGATATGGAGTTGTGGGAAGGTAAGCATTTTGAAAAATGCTTGCTAGGTGATACTGATAAATCCTTCCCTCTACCACTTCTTTAATTTAGCCAAGAGTTACTTAAGTAAGGCTGTGACAACAGAGATGATAAAGAATGGACTTGAGAGGCACATGAGTTGGAATTATATAGGATGGATTGGATGAGGGTGTAATGGAGAGGAAACATGACAAACAGGTGTTTAGTTTGAGTGACTGAGATACTATAAACTGAAATGAGCCCAAGAAGAGGAGTAGGCTTTCTGAACATAATTGTGGATTCTACTTGATACAGGTAGAATTTGAAGTCACTATAGGCAGTTGATAATATAAAGAACTGGAATTCAGGAGAGCTTAAAACCACAGATACCCAAGTCAATTGTGAAGCAATAGACAGTACTGTAGAAGTATTAAACAATGGCAACAGAACACCAGAGGCAAGGGAGATCTGTATTGTCTGGAGCAGACAGATAAGTCTTCTTGGATAAGTGAAACTTGAGTTGCATCTGAAAGTATTAATAGCTTATTCAACTTTGAGAGATTAAAATTGGAGATCATTTGCCAAAAGGTATGGGCGAGAAAGAAAAATGCTGTTTCAAGAGGGCAGGATAGTAATATGAACGACTTAAGAATAAAAACTAATATACTTCCCTTTATTCTTCACTCCCAGCGGGAGCTATTATTATTCACAATTTATAGATGAAGAAATAGGTTCAGAGAGGTTAGATAAATGGTCTGAGTCATTCCAAATAGAGCAATGTCCTTGAATCTATGACCTTTAACTCCAGACTCTTGTTGTAATCCATAGATTGTATGTCATTAAAGGCAGGGTTTATTTCTTAATTATTTTAATATCCCTCGTGGCTAGTATATAGCCTGAAAATAGACTCTAAGTCTCTAAGTACATATTTTTTGACGTAAACTGAAAATTATCAGTTCTTTTGTGCATCAATTTAAGTATTTATCATTTACATGTAAGACTAAACACAGAAGTGAAACATTGTAGGACTAGAAATTACCTTAAAGATCTTCAGATCCAACTGACTCACTTTATAGAGGAGGAAATTAAGGCCCAGATAAAGGAAGAGACTTACCTAAAATCTCACATGCAGTTATCAGCAAATCTGGAGCAAAACCTATGCCTCAACTTCTCAACCAGGACTTTTTTTGCATACCATTCAATCTAAGAGCACCACATTTACAAAGTGTGAGACTGTCCTCCCTCTTCTGAGCTCTCCAAAGTTAGATGGACACAAAAAACATAGAGAGGCATAAGAGGCAATTTGATAGATAAGAACCCTTGGACTATTTTTTTCAATCAGCAGTCTAATCATTGGATTGAATAAGAGAAGGCTGATATAAGAATCAGACACAGGAATTCTCGAGCAATTCATCTGAGAAAAGAACAACAACAATGGTTTGAAGGGAGGTAGTATATTTTTCAATGGATTCTAACGGCATACTATGGAGTTACCTTTGTTTGTCTTGCTATCTGTTAAATGTAAAACACAGTCTCAGCTACCTAAGGCAGATGAGAAGAAATACCATCCCTGGTCCCTGGTCCAGGGCCAACATACAGAACCCTGAAGGGCACTCACAAGCTGTGCAATTTGGAGGACTCCCACTACTCTGCTCTCCCAGGCTCCTCATCTGTAAATGAGAGAATTAGATTAGATTTATCTAGCTTTTGTTTCTCACTTCCTCTCTCAAATAAACCCCTGCCCAAAGATAATGAGCCTATTCCTACCAGCGAATGAGGTGAAGAATTAACTTGAGGCTGTCTACACTGTCATGGATGATGGCTCCTAGAATTAACTTGATTCTTTTCTACACCAGCATAGTTGCTGGCTCCTAGGGTGGGCAGATTCTGGTCCTGCACCAACCCTGACTGGTGATCTTCTTGCTCTATCACCACCATGTGGATCTAGGTGGCTTCTTTGGTCCCTTCAGCTCAAGATGCTGGTTGATACTCAGTGAAACACCACTGTTCACAACAACAAATTGAGTGTGAGGAACTTGATCTTCTCACCAATTTCCTGCTAACTTATCCTCCAAGTCTCAACTCAACTCTATCTTTTATAATTTACCATTCAATCTAAGAGCACCACATTTACAAAGTGTGAGACTGTCCTCCCTCTTCTGAGCTCTCCAAAGTTAGATGGACACAAAAAACATAGAGAGGCATAAGAGGCAATCTGCTTATCCTGTTCTGCCCTCGGTCTCCATCTTTTTTTAATGTCTTTTTTTTTCTTTTAAAAATTTTCTTTTTTAAATGTAGCATACCATTAATGAAACAATTTTACATTAAGTTGAAACACTGACATTCATTTTTGGTGTACAGTTTCTATAAATTTAACGCATGTATAGATTGATATAATCATCACCACTAACAAAATACAGAACATATCCAAAACTCCAAAGAATTCTTTCATGCTATTTTTTTTATAGTTATACCTTCTATTCAGCCCCAATCTCTGGCAACTGCTGATCTGTTGAGAATGTCATCTAAATGGAATCATATGCGTGTAACTTCTGTTTTAAGAATGGCTTCCACCACTCAACATAATGCCTTTGAGATTCATCCCTGTTACTGTATGTATTCATAATTTCTTCTTTTTTACCCCTGAGTAGTATTCCATTGTATGGATATACCATACTTGGTTTCTTCATTCACTGATTAAAAGACATCTGGATCGTTCCCAGTTTGGGGTGATTATAAATGGAACTGTTATTAATATTCACATACAGGTATTCAAAAAGTTTTTCTAGGGTGAATACCTAGAAATGGTTGACCCCTTAGTTTTGATTCCTTCTCACTTTTAAATCTAGGTTTGCCTCACCCCTGGACTAGTGATACTGAACCTATGCTGCTGCCTTGCCTTTTCCTCTGATGAGCAGTCCCTGTCTACCAGTTTTGGTTCCATCTCTTTCATCCCATCACTCTCTTCTTTCTGGCTGGGAGCTCCAAGCACATAGTAAAACCAAAGCCCATTTTAATTAGTCTAAATCTTTTTCAGCTGTAAATTTGCTATGATTTGGATTATTGCACCGGTATTGTAGTACCCTCTGCTGGCCGATTCGCAAAGATGGCTTTATGCCTGTGCTAGAGGAGAAACTGTAGGTACAATAGAAAAAAGAAAAATATGATGGGAGTGAGGAGGAAGAGCGGTGGCGAACTACCATTGTAGTGACAGCCTGACTGGGACACTCCATGTATTTGGTGCTACACATATAGATAAATGCTGCAATATTTTTGTGGAACCCTACAATATTGTGCTTGTCTTCTCAATTGTAGGCAAAGATGGGCTGTCTGGAAAGCTGGACTCAGCCTGGAGCATGTTCCCCAGATTGCTATTTTGTGAAGGCTTCCGCATACAAATGACTCAGATCCAAACATTCAAAAATGATCTTGGAGGGCCATCTGGTTCTTGCTGGTTCTAAAAGCTTCATTCAGCCTGGAATATGGATCCAGTACAAAAGATAGTGAGAGCTGTTCATTGAGGTTTAACATGTTCCACTGATCGAGGCTAGAAGCTGGCTTTTAAAAATAGCCAACACCGATGCTCCAAGGGCCAATTGCTGATGCTTGTCACAGGTCAGAGGAACTCTGATAAATATTTAATTGATGATGATGTGGTTGTATGGAGGTTTACACACACACACACACACACACAGAGCAACACAATTTTATATCATTAGAAAACACGTTAATTTGTTTGGGTGTCTGAAACAGTCTGGGAATTAGGCTGAACCAGCATGTCAGGCAGTGAGAAACCATGTAATTGTTGTGATGTGTCATTTTTAATTCGTGACGACAATACTGCCAACCTTACCGTTTGGATCATGGTGCTGATGGATTTGCCATTTGCACTAGCTGGCTGCTGGCTTTTCTGATCAAATGGCTGCCTGTTCTGTGGCCAAGGGACAGGGAGTGTTTTCTATTAGGGAGGCTCATGAGCTGCATGCGGATGGGAGACTACAATCTCAGTCTTAGTTTCTGGCTCCAACCAAGTTTAGACAGAGATGGGACATCTCATGACGGGGACACTGGGCATCAAGAGAATATGGATTGAAGACAGTCACCTCATTGGACAAAATGCATGAAGTGGCATTACTTGATTCACTTTTTGTTGCTATGGGCTTTGGCTGTCTCGCTGGAAAGTGGTGTGAGAAGAGGTGTGTGTGCTTTCTTCAGCTTATGCAGACGAAACCAAAATATATCCTGTATAATGACATTGTCATTCATTCTTTATGCTTTGTCATACTCTAGGATGTAAGATTATCAAATACAGGGATTGTATCTTGTTTATACATACCCCTAACCTCTCATAGTATCCAGCAAAGAGAAGACATAAAAGGAGAGCTTGTTAAATGCTCTGAGTAAAGGTGTGGCTTTTTAAAGGCGCTGATAGATTGGATGACATCTATGAATGTTGGGGTCATGGGAAATTATTTTACCTGCATCTTAGATAATTGATCTTTCTGTATTCACTCCCAGTGAAGATCCTGGTGTTACACATCCAGTTGTTCACCTCCTTCCAAGATTATGACATTCCAGGAAACCTCCAGTCCTAAGAGGAACTGATATCTACAGTATCTCCTCGAGGAAGTACAACCGGTAAGTCCTTACCAGTGAGTTTAATGTTTGTTTCTAAAATGTACCAAATAACAACAAAGATCCCCCATGCCTGGCAAAGAGTACCCATGCCCCTGCCACATACCATGAAGCACAGCCTCTCAATGGTCAATGGCAAAAACTAATGTTTGTCTGTCCTAATGTGTATATTCTATAGAGATGGAAATGGCATTTAAAATGATTTTTGTTAATGGAAACATTTAGCACTATTGGTTTTATAAAGTTCTAGTGAGCTTTATGGTCTCCAAAAAAGACTAGCTAGGGCTCTGCAGTTTACCAGCTTCTTTCGACAAAGCTTCTTCTCTTCTACTCTCGGTATATCAT